AAGTCAACAAATTAAAAGGCATCCTTAAAGAATCAATAGTTTAACATACAAAGAAAATGAGTTTATACTACCTATACATTAGTAACATTACCTTTGGGAAATATAGCATCCTTGTTACACCACAGTTGCCATAAACAGCAGACCCGAAACTAAAGGGCTCAACACATCTTTGTTTACTTTCCAAATCGACTTTCAAAACTTTATCATCTTTTGATGCCCATATTTCTAGAGCATCATTGCATAATTCCAAGGCTTTGACTAATGTTTTCAACTCGTCTATAGTGAGCTGAAAAAGGATGACTTTATATTATCCTCTTGACAGCAAGAAATACGACTCGCGTGTTTGAGACACGCAAACTTGCTCGAGCAGAAACTGCAGCACACTGTAAACAAATGCAAGTCGTAAAAGGAAGAAAAGCATTCTCGTTCGGTGTTAAGATCAAAATCTTTCTCCATCTTCTGGAACTGAAACCCCGTGAGCCAGTGGAGATAACACAACAAACAACTCGCCCATTGCTTTCCCAGACAGGCTACCTCAAGGCGCGCACAGGCCCACCTCAGGGTTGAGGAGGAACTCCGGCGATGACTCCTTTGCTTTGGCAATACGACAATAGACTGGTCTATCTGAGTTGAGCCTACAACACTACCGATCCCAAAGATTGAAAAACCTTGCATTCTTGTACATTCATGCGGAAAATAGGTTAAACTGTAAAAGATAAGATAGCAGCAAAACTTGTATTGGAGTTCATTGCACTAAAACCATGATGCAACAATTGATTTCCGGTAACAATAGAGCACTCAAGAGGGAGAATATATTGCCATATTGAAAGAATTAAAGAAAGAAAGTAATGCTTCAGTATCTCCACATAAAAAATGCTTCTCCAAGTATAAAATCTCAATTGACACCCACACAGAAGATCACAATTTCAACAATATTCACAATCAACCATTTCAGAATGCAATTCAAACTTGGCCTGATACTGACACCCACACAGAAGATCACAATTTCAACGATATTCACAAACAACTATCTCAAAATCCCATTAACACTAGGCCTGATGACTTTTCTTACCATGACCACAAAATATTAATTGGCAACGCTAAATCACACTGTTCAACCCAAAAAAGGCAAGGCAACAACATGAAAATAAGGAAAGAGAGAAGGAACAATAAACGGTTAAAGAGAGAAGACCAAATCATCTAGCATTGGCAACAACTGCAACAAGCTCCGGGCCCAAAATATCAGGACCTAATGGCGCCTTAACTATGCCATACTCAAAGCCCCTGATCGCCTCAACAAGCTCCGGGCCCATCTCTCTCTATATCTCTCTAGAAGACATAACAAACAGTCAAATGTATTCCTTTTCAGTAATGAACTTCAAAATGTTTGAACATATGATTGTAAACGTACCTTGACAAAAATTAAATTTGAGAGGTATGAGGCTAGAATGAAATTTAGTCCCATCCATCAAAGTGCCCACATAATGAACTGCACCAGTCGTCCACATAAAAAATGGTAATCAAAGTTGAATTTTGACATAGTATTTCAATAAAAAATTAAACTTATATGATAAAACCTTCAACTTCATCTCCAGATTTAGGACACCCGTATCCCTCCATGAAAAGCTTGTTCTCCAATATTTTGTCTCCATAGCATGTTACCTTGTTGGCAATCACAACACCATCGGGAATTTCCAGCTTCACACCATGTGCAGCAATTGTGACCTTATAATCATAAATTATCAAACCTATAAACCTAAAAGGCATTACAAATTTGCCAAATATGATAAAGAATACCAAAGTACCTTCAGGCTAACGGTAGCTCCAACCCAAACATCACCAGCCACCTTCAAACAGTCTAGCTCAATAATCCATACTCGGATTCGTACTCCCCACAGTCAGGCTTCCAGCGGCTCTCATAGCTGTGTTCAAATTCAGGTCTCTCCCAGCCCCTCGTATAACGTCTCAATTTTATATCTAATAATGAGAAGAAATGCATCAGGAATAACTTAATTCGACAAAAAAAGCAAGAAAAATATTCAAATAGACGAACCATAATAAAGAAGAAAATGACAAATGAAAAGTGATGTAATAGCAGGCATAGGGATCATAACTAAAACAACCAGCAATGTAGCTAGAGAATTGAAAATGTACGTGAGAGAAGTTGACAATTACAGGGAGGATATGGGCAACACAATCTTGAGGCTCCAACAATTTTCCAAGAGCAGAACAGCCCTCAACAGCTAGCAACTAAACGAAATCCTGATCTGAAAAGAAGCATTTAGAAGATTATTTTAGTTTTATAAGGGCACCACGCACTATATATAATTTTAATTTCAGTTATCCATTTATTAGTGAATCTTCTTCATTAGACTGTTTCAGTAGTGGACTAACTAAAAAGTATTTAGTGGCTGCAGATACTCATCGAACCTGCTTTCATAGGAAGCTGAAATTTTGTACTGAAGACACAATTCATCCGTAATATAAGCATGCTTTATATACAGTTTTACTCCTTTCATTATTGACCTGTATTATGCATCATTATAAAACACTCCATTAATTTTCACGGCCACTATTACTCCGCAAGTTTCAAGTCCCTCGTGTGGTAAATCCCACATATTTTGATTCCTCACATTTATGAATTTTGATTTCTATGGTTTGCTCAAGAACATATTATCTGCCCAAGTACAGAAAAGCTATTAACATTGACGAAAAGTACAAGAAAAACGTTGTGAACCCTTCGTTTCAAGAACAAAACTCAATCCATACTTCTACATAATTGTTTGCACGTACCTTGCAGAATGGCACTATGCTAATGATACCAGACTTTGTAAATGGTGGAGAGCTTTCCAAATCGTAGTCCTTTGGACCAACTCCAGACAAACCTAAATAATTATAGTACCATGCTTCATAATATAGTTAGAAAAAAATAGAACTCGTACATAAAAAGAAAAAAAAAAAAGTAAAAACTGAAATTCACCTCAGATGGCCTTGAGCAGTCCGTGGAGACGCTAACACTAAAATTGCCTCTCTGCTCCAGGCGTGCTTCTCCACGCATCCGAGGACATGCTTCTGCAAGCAGATAAGGGTTGAACGCACTGGTGACTGTCAGATCTGTGTATATATGCCACTGATTCCAAGGTCTTCTCCTCTCTCTCTTTCATATCTAATTGATTTGCCAATTGGTTTTGAGTGGTTGATCTTGATCAGGCCTCGCTACAGTTAGCAACCCGACCAGCCACCGTGCGTAGGACAACCGTGCTGATTGCTGGAGCCGCTCGTTGCTCTCTGTAGCGGGGCGTAGCCACAAGAAACCAAGCACAACATTAAGAAAACAAATGAAACAAAAGATAGGTAAATTTGTGCTTTCAAGATCTACCCACAACAAGCACTTAAAATCAATTGACAAAATATGTAGTATGTCATATGTAACACCAAACACAATATGACTTATTCATTAACAATAAAATTTTCTACCAAACACAATATGTAGTATGTCATATGTAACACCAAGTCATTTACAATCAAAACGGTAACACCAATAATGGCAAGTGACCATACAACAGTGTGTATCTAAATGCAAAAGTTTCTGCTCATTTTTCACCAATAATGGCAAGTGATGATACAAAAGAGTGTATCTAAATGCAAAAGTTTCTGCTCATTTTTCAGAAGCACAATACTCTACCTTACAGATTCAAGAACCAATTTTCAACGTTTTTTAGTGCACACGTCTTGAGGTCCGGTAATGCTAGAGTGCCATGATTTTATTTTTGACGAACCTGAATTTCCTCAGCTCGTCTTGTGGTGGTTGTACCGGATATTATCCTCCGTGGTGTCGGATTACTAGACCAGGGTGGGGGCGAATGACCCCTCAAAGGAGAAAATCGGCACGTGGCAGGAGGCGGGCTTGAGCGAGTGGCGGATAACTGTTTACTTGGCCTTGGGGATGGACTACGGCGATGTGGGCTTGCACTATCTCTACTACTCCTCTGACCTCTCTCCATCTGAAGTTTGAATATCGATTAATTAAAGAAAGATACCAAAGGTTTCACATTTCTCAGTTCTGGCCCACTCTTTAAAAGTACACCATGTGAGGATTTTGGTAAGGAAAAGTCGCAAGTGACCATAGCTGAAAGTAAAGTGAGCATCAGGAGTATTAATTAGTTACTTTCATAATGTTCAAGTTTAAACAAGTTTGTGAGAATGCAAAAAAATTGGGAGATAAACTGAATATATATAAACAATATGCATCAAAGAGAGGAAGAAACAAGCAATTTCTATGCAATTAAGTTGCTTGCATCTCTTAATGGTTACCATGGGGATGGAGAGATTGAATAGCTGACTTCAGGGCATCCATGGCGGAACTTTGGTTGTAAATCGGCATCACGTAGTGAGCTAGCGGGCTGAAGCTACTGTACTACAACTTGTTGACTTCCACTTTTGTCCACCCTTCGCCGGCGGGTTTCGACTCCTTGGTGGCATCAGCTATGGTCGCCGTTGACGGTTGCGATCTCACTCAAAAATTCCTAATTCTGGCACTAAAGTATTAATCCATAAGGACAAGGCTATATTCAAAAACCCTAGTCTCCACTCAAAAAGTACACGAACAACCTAAAATGCAAACTGAACTTGCAAAGATCAAAATAACGAATTTCCAAGCAGAATAAATAAACAAACACGAACACTCAAATGTACCGGAAAAATTAATCCGACAATGGTGAGTCCGCGCCGAGGACGCCGCCGCCGTTGTAAGTGACGCCGACATCGCTGATTGCTTCCCACATATGGGGCCATATCTGACAGGTCTTGCCCAAAAGCCATCCTCGATCGTTGCTTTAATCATCTCAGTCGCCTTCAATATATCTTCTCCAGCCGACCCGTGTAGCCACGAGCAGCTCTAGTTCTATCCGCCACGCCGCGGCTCTGGTCCTATCCGCCACGCCGCAGCTCTGTCGGCGCCGGGAGCCTGTGTAATCGTTGGTGTTATAGGAGAGAAATTGGATTTCTGAGTTGTGACTGAGAGTGGGAGAGGATTTGCTTTTCCAAGATTGCATTTGGTCTTTGAGGTGATAGTTGCATTTGAGAGGCGGTGATAGTTGCGTGTGAGAGGTGGTACTCAACGGCAAAGTCAACTGAGGGGTAATTCACTCCTCATTTAAAGCCACAAAAAAAAAATTAATGAGGAACGAAAAATAAAAGTGAACCTAATAGCAAAAAAGTAAAAAAATTTGGAAATTGTGGACACGCGTCGACTCAAATTTGGAAATTGTGGAAATTGTGGACACTTGTCAACACCACAAAAGGCCTCACTCCATACATAGATAAGAGATATTATTTTAATATAGCACTAACAACTAACCATATTACCTTTATTAAAATTAACTAAATCAAACCCAAAAATTTAAACTAATAAAAAGTTCTTATATCCAAGCACTTTGGAATGCAAGTAGACAAAAAAAAGTAGGCCACTTCAAATAAGCAATTCAATTTGGATTGCAACTAGACAGAAAGAAGAAAAAAAAACAAAAAAACAAAAAAAAAAACAAGGCCTCTTCAAATAGGCCATCCAGATTCAACATTTTGAATGCAAGTAGACAAAGAAAAACAAGGGCACTTCAAATATGTTTTCTGAATATTAGCAAAGAGCATTGCGTGGAATAAACAACCATTTCAAAAAAAATCACTTACACCGATAATCACTAGGCGATAAGCCAAAATTGGCTCGTGATTTCATGTAAAGTAGACAATGAATGGTTTGACGTCACCGTCTTCATTCAGGCTCTATTCAACTCGGCCGTCTATGATGACAATAGTGCCCTCGACAAAATAGACCTTCGATTTGCCCCATCTCCGCACATGTATACGGAAATCTTAAAAGCTTGTAAAGTCTGGCGCGGAATTGGTTGGTTTGTAAGTTGGTCAGAGCCAAACCCTGTAGTATGTCACTATTAAGTTGTCTGACAATGCATTATATTAAAATAGAAATTGACATTCATTGGAAAATACTTACAGGGGTCAGTGCTCGCTACCCAGTCGAAAGTGCTTTTCGCCATCATAAGATAAAATATGATAGGTGGTCGAATCGTGTTGTCGGCCCATGCTTGCAATAGGCGTACCACATGTTAGTGTCGCTCTGAACACTGCTGTATCACCTACACCTTTATGTTAGAAAAATCTTGTTCGTCACTCATTTCAGACAAAATAAGTTGGTGGAATTCATTTATTTATCGCTCGGTTATTGGTTTAGACCAATCGGGGAGGTTGTTGGGATCGATTTTTCCAACAACCTCTGCGATTGGGCTAAACCAATTACCGAACGACAAATAACTGAATTCCACCACCTTCTTTTGTCTGAAGGTCTGACTAACGAACACATAGAAGATGTTGCAAAGGTTTTTCCTAACATCAGGGTGCTTGTGATAGAGCAGTGTTCAAAGCGGCACTGCGAAACATGTTGTACGCATATCGCAAGCACGGGTCGTACATAGGGCTCGACTGCGTATCATATTTTATGCTGGCGGAAAGCACCTTCGACTGGGTGGCGAGCATCGACCCTGCAATTACTTTCCCACGAATGTTAATTTTTATTTTAGTATAATGAATTGTCAGAAAACTTAATAGTGACATATTACAGGGTTTGGCTTTGACCAACTTACAAACCAACCGATTCCACGCCAAAATTTTAGAAGCATCTACTTCCAGGAGATTTCCGTATACATGTGCGGAGATGGGGCAGAACAAATGTCTTATTTTGTCGAGGGCACCATTGTCATCAAAGACGGCCGAGTTGTCGAGATCCTGGATGTAAAGTATGACCTCATACCATTCATCGTGTACTTTACCGGAAATCACGAGCCAACATTTTGGCTTCTCGACTAGTGATTATCGGTGAAAGTAGTTTTTTGGAGTGGTTATTTATTCCACACAATGCTCTTTGCTAATATTCAAAAAGCATATTTGAAGAGCCATTGTATTTCTTTGTCTACTTGCATTCCAAATGTTGAATCTGGATGACCTATTTGAAGAGGCCCTTTTTTTTGACAAGTTGAATTCCAAACTAACTTGCTTTTTTGAAATGGCCTACTTCTTTTTTCTGTCTACTTGTGGTACTTGGATATAAGAACTTTTTGTTTGTTTAAATTTTTTGTTTTGTTTTGGTTAATTTTGATAAAGATAGTATGGTTAGTTGTTAATGGACATATTAAAATAATATTTTTTATAATATAATTAAATTGGATTTAATGTAATATTGTTCAGTTTTGTCACCAAAATAATCAAGGCCCATCTCACTGCCTTAAGCCACAAAAGGATAGTTAGAGGGCCCTTCTTGATGTATTTTTTTAAGTGTTACTCATACATTGCTACAAATCTTATACTACAAATCTTATAGGGAAATTTTCACGCTTCCGGTAAGAATTACAAAATATTGCACTTTTACAAGTGGGCCAATTTTAATTGTATCTATATCTAAAATCTAGGATTTATTAGAGATATACCTCATGTAAAACGCTCCACCTTAATTGCCGCATAGATTCCATTACCCACAACCTCATTTCAAATCACTTTTGAGGATAATTATCATTTTAGTGAGTTCACTGTATATTGTTCTTCTTTTTCCTAATTAAAAACTTGAGAGTTTCAAATACTAATAAGTTCGCTGAAAACTATAGAATTTGAAGAGTTGATATGCTATTATCGTCTTCTTTTGCGATCAGATACACTTAATTAAGTGTATCTGATAAGGGTGTGCATCGGTCGACCGAACCGAACTAGGAAAACCGAAATAACCGAACCATATTATGCCCGAACCGACCGAATTATCATTTAAACTGAACATTAACCGACCAAACTTCTTGGTCGGTTTCGGTCGGTTTGGTTAAATCGACCGAACTATACATTTTAAAAAATATATATAATATAACTAATATATATATATATATATATATATATATATATTATAATATATATATATATTCGGTCAGTTCGATTATTTCGGTCATTTTAGTGTCCGAAACAGACACCGACCGAAATAACCGAAAAAACATTCGACTAAAACCGAATACCGACCGAGTCGAATAAAAACCGAACCGAGATTTTCGGTTCGGTCGGTTTCGGTCGGTTTTTTCGGTTTTAGTCGAATTATGCACACCCCTAATCTGATAGATACACTTAATTTGATTAAGTGTTCTTCTTTTGCCGGCCCTAGCCCGGGGCAGCATGGGCTACGGCACAGGTCCCAATTACATGGAAGGGCACCAAAATCAGCCCATACACCTTATATATATGTATATGTATCTAATATGTGTGTAAAGTAGTGTAGAGTGTAATCATTGAACATAACGGACAAGCCCCCAATTTAGCCTTTAAAAATGTGACAAAAAAAATGCCGTAAAGTGGAAGAACACAAAACACAAACTAATCAATCCCTTTGCAACTGTTCATCTTCCCCATTTTTTTCCATTCCCCAAATTCTAACAACCCTAATTTTTAAGGATAAGTAAATTAATTTATACACATTATAAATGGCCCTTTCAACTTTTGTTTTTTCTATTCACCATTGTACCCTTTTTTTTTCTAAATCAATTGTTCAATCATTAGCGAAATTGTAATCACTTCAAACAATTTTTGAAATTTCTTGAATCTTTTCTTTATTTTGAGAAAAAATCACCTATTCTATTTGTTTATGTTGTTATCGAACTGAAAAAAATGGGCAACCAACGAAACAGTTTTGAATTTTTTCCTTTGACTTGTTTTTGTATTTTTCCTTTTAGAATTGAAATTGAATTTACTGTAACTTATTTGTAGATTGGAAATTGGGGCTTATGAATTTATCATAGCTAGAAACTTGAATTTAGCATAGCTACAAACTTGAATTTTGAAAATTGGGACTTATAAATTTATTTATTTATTTCAATGTCTGGGTTTGAGAAGTCTGTGATTATTGTCGAATGGTTCTTATGAATGAATGGTGTTTTACAGGTTAGCTGTTCTATGCATCAAAAAG